AGGATCATTATCCCTGCATTGCAGGGGGTTGGACTAGATGACCCATGGGGACCCCTTCAGACTCTACGCTTCTGGGATAGCTAATACAACCCCACTCCCAGATTCCCTGAGAAAAAGGCCTGGCTGTTACAAAGTCCAAAAGAGGGGTGTTGCAGAATGGAGTTCTGCTGATCAGGAGCCTGTCTGCTACATTCCATTATTATGGTTTATTTTTCTCTCTCTCTATCTCCAGCCGCAAGTGAGTCAGCATTCAGCAGCCGCAGCACAGAGCATGCTCAGCCTCCCTTGCGCTGCCCTCGGATTTCCCCATCTCCTGCCCTAGGCTTTTTCAAAACAACAACATTCCACTTCTGCAAACCTTTCAGCCACTCGTCCTACTTGCATCGCTCCTCCGCTGTGCCCACTTTGGATGCCGAAAAGCAACAGCACGCACACCTGAACTTAGGAAATAACTTTGGACGCCCCTCTGGGTGCTGCCCGTTGTACTACAGTGGTACCTCTGGTTGCGAACGGGATCCGTTCCGGAGGCCCGTTCGCAACATGAATAGAATGCAACCCGCAGCGGCATGTCTGCGCACGCACAGGTTGTGATTTGCTGCTTCTGCGCATGCACGACATCATTTTGCGTGTCTGCGCATGCATGAGCAGCAAAACCTGGAAGTAACCCTTTCTGGTACTTCCAGGTCGCTGCGGGACGCAACCTGAAAAAATGTACCATGAAGAAGAAGAGTTTGGATTTGATATCCTACTTTATCACTACCCTAAGGAGTCTCAAAGCAGCCTACATTCTCCTTTCCCTTCCTCCCCCACAACAAACACTCTGTGAGGTGAGTGGGGCTGAGAGACTTCAGAGAAGTGTGACTAGCCCAAGGTCACCCAGCAGCTGCATGTGGAGGAGCGGGGAATCAAACCCGGTTCACCAGATTACGTGTCCACCCGGTTCACCAGATTACGAACCCGGTTCACCAGATTACGAGTCCACTGCTCTTAACCACTACACCACACTGGCTCACATGAAACAAACGTAACATGAGGTATGACTCTATTTGCAACCAAATGTTCCGTAACCGCAGCACAGCGCCCCCTATTGAGCAAGCTGCCCATCTCCCTCCTTGCTGCTTTGTCTTGCAATTACATCTGGAAGTTTATCCTCACCTTGCTGTATTTCTGGAAAGTGAATCCGCTCATCTCCTCTCCTTCATTGCCCAGGCACTCCAGAGTCACGTTCCCGCCCTCAAGGACAGGACCCTCCTGGTCGCTGCGAAGGACGATGGAGACCTCTGGAATGATAAGAGAGGGGATGGCATGAGACAGAGGCCGCCACTCACACTCCGAGCCAACGGGTCCCCCAAGCTTGTTGGCTAGATCAGCTCCAGCACCCACTTCTTATTTCTCATCTCCTACTTTTTTATTTTTTAAAAAAAGTATATGGCCCTACCCCATAGGTCTCAGGGTGGTTCACAACACAAAATTACAAAACAAAACAAAATACGTGTCAAAAATAAGAATGGAAACAAACCAACAGTCCTCTGTTCCGCAGCACGTTTAAAAGGGCATCAGATGTAAGTCAGCCACAGGCCTGGTTGAAGAGGAAATTTTTGCCTGGTGCCTAAATGTGTATAATGAAGGCACCAGGCAAACCACCCTGGGGAGAGCATTTCATAAAAGGGGAGCCACTGCAGGAAAGGCCCTTACTTGTGTTGACACTCTCCAGACCTTTCCTGGAGAAGGCACACGAAGAATTATGTTATGTAATCCTTCTACATTTTGGGATGGTGAATCTAAGCCTAGGCTTCCCCCAAAGAATCCTGGGAACAGTAGTTAATTGTGGATCTGTGAGGGTATCCTAAAGACTTTCAGTCCCTGCAACAAACTACAGTTCCCAAGTTCCTTTGAGGTGGGGTGGGGGAGCATAAGAGTGATTTAAATGTCTGGTGTGGACTTCCTTCTGTATCATCCTTCCTGCTCTCTTAAGGTGAGAAGGAGATGCGGTTCCTTCTGTCCCACCTAGGGTCGAAGTGCGTTTGGATACAAGGGGTGAGAGGGAGATTATGGAACTCCTTGCCCCATGAAGTTTGGTCGGCTCCTTTCTTGGTTTCTTTGTTGCTAAAGGCCATTTTTCATTCTATTTTTGTGCTACCTTTTTGTGTCCTTCATTTTGGTTGGGGAGGGGTTATGGGTTTGTTCTGGTCTTTATTACGTGTTTTTGTTTTGTATTTCTGTGCTGAAGGGTGATGTACGAATTTAAAATCATCATTATCATCATCATTATGATGAAACTAACATTTAAATGTATTGAGCAGCCTCAATTGCTGATTTTCTGCTTGTTTTTCTGCTTAGGTTTTTAACTGTCAACACTTTGCCCTCAAGAAACTTCACGCTTGAGATATATACTGAAACTGAAACCTTTAAATGTCTTAAGCAGCCTTGATTGGTGCTTTCAGTTAGGAAGGAAAATGTTTATTTATATATACGCAAACATTTCTACACCTTTGTGTCCCTTTCGCCAAACCATAACTTTTTTATTTATTTATTGCATTTTTCTCCCACCCTTTTTCTCAAAGGAGCTCACAGTGGCATACGTGTTTCTCCCTGTTCTCCTCTAATGTCCACAACAACCCTACGAGGTAGGTTAGCTTGAGAGGCAGCAAGTGACTGACCCAGGGACGCCCAGTGAGCTTCAGAGCCGGGTGGACATTTGAACGCCTGGTCTCTCCCAGATCCTAGTTCGACACTCTAACCACTACACCACACTGCCTCCTAATCTTAATGATTGCAGAGGCTCAACCTCAGAACTTGTCCCATAGGCCCTTGACACAACTCCGGGGGCAAAACAAGCATGCATAGAGCATGCTACAGAGCTTTTCTGTGAAAAGATGTGGTCACAGCTTGCGGCTAAGAAGGCATTTTGAAAGCAAAATGTTGCAGGTATCTCAAAAGTCGGGCAGAGAGAGAAGAAGACCCCCGTAGAAAGTGTGGACAGTTGCTGCTGCTAGTCAGCATGAGTAATACTGAGACAGACAGGCAGATGGCCTGACTCTGCAAACACTTCCTAGATCCGTTCTCCAAGAACCCAAAGCCAGCCCACACATGTCTACGAGCACCCAGGCAGGCCTGAGCCCAAAAATCTCTTTCAGTAATATTTAGCGTTTGCATCCAGTTGTAATCTTTACAACAATCCTGCAAGAAAGGTGACCTCCAAATTTCCAGAGAGGGTGGCCACAGTGGGTGGGACAGACTGGCTTGTCAAAGGCAGTCAAAAGAGTTTATGGGTATATAAATAATAAAATAATAATACTTATTATTAAGATTCAAGTGGACCTTTCTGAGTCGTAACACAATCCGCATACACACCATACCTCTAAAACACACTCAAAGGATATTTCCCCTGCCTGCCACCACAACAAAATCCTGGGAATGGTAGTTTGCACCTTACAGAACTACAATTCCCAGCACCCTTAACAAACGATGTTTCCCAGGGTTCTTCAGGGGGAATAGTGCTTTGAATGTGCTTTAAAGGTATGCATGTGTTAAGTCTCCTGGCCACTACACCGGATATTTCCAAACTGTGCGTTGTGACGCATTAGTGTGCCGGCTGCAGTGTGTAGGTGACCATACAGCTGGCTCAACAAAACATTTCTTGTTCATCCTCTCGCCATCCTTTCATTAATTACAAACTCTGTTTTCGATGCCGATTCTGGGGTGGACTGGCTCTTCCCTTGCCTCACAAGATCTCCCAGCCCAACTGGTCTTACCACACAGAAGCAGAACTAAAGCTTCGTGAGAGTGGGAAAGAAGATTGCCAGCTCTTTCTCACAAGGCCTTCGGCAACAATGTGAAATGCAGAAATCGAGTCAGAAAAGCTTTGAGGCGCTTGCTATTTCCTTGCTGGATTTGGTTACCCACTGGCAAATTCAGGTTGTACAACTTAAAATGAGATTAGTGCTCTTGTGCAACAAGTCCAGTTTCCCAAAACTGCAGTGTGTAATAATACTTGCAGAGCCAATGCTCAAGTAACAGGAAGCAATCAAAAGGTTTTGCCTGCAAAATGTCAAGCTGCTACATATGGGTCCATCTCACTCAGCGCTGCCCACTCCGACTGGAAGCAGCTCTCTGGGGTCTGAGGCAGACATGTACATCCCATCAACTGCTCTCTGATCCTTTTAAATGGAGATTCCGGGGATTAACCCCCCCCCGACCTTCTGCATGCCAAGCACCCGCCCTAGCGCCCTGGCCTCCCAAAGCAAAGGGGCAGGAGGAGCACGGGGCAGTTTTAAAAGGTGGGCCAACGAAGTGAATTCCGCACCGGCTCCTTGTTTTCCAGAGTGTTGTGCCATTCGACTCACCTGCCTGGCTGGTGCGCAGGGTCACAGCCAGGCCAGCCGCCACCAGCCAGAAGAGCTTCTGTTGAAACTGCGCCATCATCGCCCTGCTGCCTGCTTGCCTTCTGTTTTGGGTAATGAGAAAGTTCCCTCCTCCGTTTCCTGGTTCGCCCTTCAAGAAAAAAGAAGCGAGAAAGCCACCGCGTTTAGCAGCCTCGCACCCGTGCGTGGGAAACCGGCCGTGCTTAACAGAAGAAGGAAGCGGGGCACACTGGCTGCACCCCCGAAACAAACCGTCTCCCCAACCTCTGCTCCCCCTGCGCACCAACCTCTCTCTTCCTCTCTCTCTCTCTGTGTCTCTCCCCCCACGAGACCGAGAGGCGTCTCTGTACTTGTTGCCCGCGCCGAAGGGGTGGGGAAAAGAAGTTAATAACAAACTAAACCGGAGCGGCCAGTTGAGGAACTGAAGACGCAGCTCCGTCGACGCGCACGCAAAGAGAGCCGTCGGGGTGTAAAGAAGTTCAAGCACGAAAGGCACAAAGAAAGTGCGATGGGAAAGGGGGCGGGGGGGGCAAGGGGCGGGGATGAGGTAGAGAAGGCAACCGGGAAGTGAAAGGTAGCGGGGCAGGGCGCCCTGCGTCTCTCTCTGCCCCAGCACCGACTCACCCGCCGGCGGAGCTGGTCTGCTGGCGCGTCCCTAACCGAAGGCGCAATTCTAAATTCTAAGTTCTTGGCGACGCGGGGGAAGATAGTCGCGCCACCAGAGCTCAAAGGCGGCTGCGGTGGGTGAAAGTTCCCTCTCCTACTCTTACGGCAAACCGCAACTTTCACAGCCGGCCGACAGGAGAAGGAGCTGAACAATCTTAGGGGCGGGCATGATGGGTCTGAGAATTTGGGGAGCCCCACACACGCGCGCATACACCAGGAGAGTCCGACGGTGCCACCTGTAACCGGATCAGGCGGCTGTTCTCCGCGTGGGAAATTACGGAGTGGTGGGGGTACGACGCAAAGTCTACGACGACTTCTTGTAACTGCAGGCTGTTAATTTTTTGGCAGTCTATAATAATTCCCCTGGTGGGCTGGGTCTGTTGGAGATGGAGTGTTTCGGAACCGAACCCTCGTAACAAATTGCTTTGCTTGCCCGTTTAACTTTCGCAGACGCAGCGTTCACATAACCGAGTAAGCAGATAGGCCCGGAATGCCCTCCTCCAGGAAAGAGCAGGGGGTCTGATTATGACAGCCCCTCTCAAGAAAACTGGGCAAAGAGCAGCGAGATTAACAGAGCAGAATAAATTTGCGTGGTGGGGGGCAGAATCTGTGATCGAATCTCAAGGCTTGAGATGCTGAGATCTTGGCAAGAGTCAGACCCCTGAAGCGATGTGAAGATCGGGTTTCTCCACCTGGGGAATTTCCACTTGGACCTTTGGCCTCGCTTGCCGCAGGGAAGCTGCTGAAGTTTTTGCGCAACCTGACTCTTCATGCACGCACATCACACAAAGGTTTTCCCCTCAAGTGTTTCTTTGCTTTGGGGAACAAAGTCCGCAGCTGTGCAGAAATGAAAGTAAAACTGGCCCCAGCCTTGCACAACAAAAACTTTCAGAGTCGACATTTCCTTCTCAACCTTTACAGCAGCCGGACTACAAGGACTCTTAAGAATGACCTTGGTGTTATTTTTTTCCTCATATTGAACACTGGACGAGCCAAAACAGTCTTCAGGGGAACGAACACTTTTTCTTTTTCTTTTAAAGCATTAGGTACTGTACTCGGGAGCAGATGCCGTGTGTTCCACATGTTCATTTTACAGAAATGCGATCCCCTCCATCATAAGCGCAACAAGGGAGTCATGTTCTAGAAAGTAATGTAAGCCCATTGCGACTGAAAAGTCACAAATGGGCTGTGCTTCTGTATTAAACAGAGAGCTCCCCTGATTCTCAGCAGAGTGGTATTGCTGGCCAGTCTGGTCCCTAGCGTCTCTATAGTTAAAGCCCTCTATTGGGGTGGGGAACATTTTGCAGCCCAAGGGCCATATTCTCTTCTGGGGAAGCGTCCCAGGGCCACATGGCAATGGTGGACAGGTCCAGAGACAAAAGAGCGGGTGCACATTTTCCCTTCATACAGTAGACTTAATTTCTACACAAGCTCACACACCCTTCTCCTTCAAGAGGCACTATCACAGTTCAAGGACACATTCCAGACAGACAAATAGACCCAAGGGGTGAAGCAGGCCAGTGAGGGGTGGGGTCTGACGGGGAGAAGGGATGTGAGTCATGTGACCTGCAAAGAGTCCTGAGCAAGTCCGGACCAAGATATTTTGGCACCTGAGGTGAACCACAAAATGCTTCCCCTCCTCCCCGCAAGGGAAGAAGTGAAGATCTATGTCAGGAACAAGGGGGTAATGAAGATCTGCATTGAGATCTGCTGCCCCCGTGGATCCTGCCACCTGAGGCAGTCGCTTCACCTTGCCTCAAAAGTGGGCTGGCCCTGGTCCCGAGGGCCAAACAGAGAGGCCTGGAGTGTTTGGACCTCAGGCATGATGTTTTTCACCCCTGATCTAGATCTGCGTCATTGAATGGTTCAATTCAGACTCTTGTCCCATTGCGAGTCCTAGAGGAAAAGCAGCTTTTCCTCTAGGAAAAAGTGGACAGAGGCATTATAGAAACAGGCAAAGCTGTGCTAGCTTAGGAACATTAAGAACTGTTATTTATGTTTCAAAGATACAGTATTGCCCCGGTCCTAGACAGCCATGCTGGCTAGAACTGATGAGAGTTGGAGTCATAACAGTATCTGAACATCCACAGCTTCCCCCCACTCCTAGTTCAAGGACTGTTTTGTTCCCAGATGAGGTGATGGCTGCTGGCTGGGATGGGGATGGGTCTGTCTGTGGTTCTTACCAACAACGGTCATTTGGAGTTCCCATGTTCAGAGGTCGTGTACCACTGAATTAGCTTAACTGGATGCAAAAGGAGACAGGACTTTGGCAGTTTGAGTAGCTGCATAGTAGAGGAAACTTCAGCAGGTTTAAGCATGCACAGCAAGCTCTCCCTTCTGAAATCCCCTCTTCATCAAAACTATTCAGGGTACAGGAACTCTCTCCCCTTTTGCACACAGCCGCTCTAGGTGGGATGCAAACTTTGACCAAGCCAGGAATCCAAGTCATTTCACACTGTGCCCCAATAGGTAAATAATGATAATGATAATGATAATAATAATAATAATAATAATAATAATAATAATAATAATAATAATAATTTATTTGTACCCCGCCCATCTGGCTGGGTTTCCCCAGCCACTCTGGGCGGCTTCCAACAAAGATAAAAAATACAGTGGTACCTGGGGTTACATACGCTTCAGGTTACATACGCTTCAGGTTACACACTCCGCTAATCCAGAAATAGTGCTTCAGGTTAAGAACTTTGCTTCAGGATAAGAACAGAAACCGGGCTCCGGCGGCGCGGCGGCAGCAGGAGGCCCCATTAGCTAAAGTGGTGCTTCAGGTTAAGAACAGTTTCAGGTTAAGAACGGACCTCCGGAACGAATTAAGTACTTAACCTGAGGTACCACTGTACAAATGTCACACATTAAAAACTTCCCTAAACAGGGCTGCCTTCAGATGTCTTCTAAATGTCAGGTAGTTGTTTATCTCTTTGACATCTGATGGGAGGGCGTTCCACAGGGCGGACACCACTACCGAGAAGGACCTCTGCCTGGTTCCCTGTACAGTGGCATAGCGTGGGGGGTGCAGGGGGGCTGGCCGCACCGGGCGCAACATCTGGGGGGGCGTGCTTGCACTCGCAGCTCTCTGCCCCTACCGGGTTAGGGGGTGCAAATTACTTGCCTTGCCCCGGGTGCTGACAACCCACGCTACGCCACTGTCCCTGTAGCTTTGCTTCTCGCAGAGAGGGAACCTCCAGAAAGCCCTCTGTGCTGGACCTCAGTGTCCGGGCAGAATGATGGGGTGGAGATGCTCCTTCAGGTATACTGGGCCGAGGCCGTTTAGGGCTTTAAAGGTCAACACCAACACTGTGAATTGTTCTTGGAAACGTACTGGCAGCCAATGTAGGTCTTTCAGGACCGGTGTTATATGGTCTTGGCGGCTGCCCCCAGTCACCAGTCTAGCTGCCGCAACCCTCACAGTTCCCCCCTGCATAGCACATTGTGGGTGAAATGGTTCTGGCATGTGTACATAGATACACAAATGAACCCCCACCTGTGTAAACCACCCATCCCTTCTTGGGAGGAGAAGGCTTGTAGATAGGGAGCTGCATTATACCAAGTTACACCAGTATGGTATAATTCAGTGTTGTCTACACCAGTGGGGAGAACCTGGGGCCCTCTGGATATTGTTGGACTACAATTCTCCTCAGGTAGCATGGCCAATGGTCAGGGGGTGATGGGAGTTGTAGTCAGGCAACCTCAGGAGGGTTGTAGGTTCCTCATTTCTGGTCTACACTGACTGGCTGGGATTTCAGGCAAGGATCTTTCCTAGTTCTACCTGGAGCTGTCAGAGATCGAACCATGGAAGCTGCCTGCGACAGATCTACAGCCCTTCTCCTAGTAGCAGCCAGGGTGACCAGATACAAAAGCGGACAAGGCTCTTGCACCCGTAGCAGCTGTGCAGAAGGTTTGCCACCTGCCCACCCTGCTAACTAGTCACTCCCCTCTATGGCTCTTGAAGGAGATTCACATTTACCTGCAGCATGCCAGGCCAGGTGCAGACCAGGAAAGGGGCTCTGAGGCAGTGGTGTAGCGTGGGGGGTGCAGGGGGGGCCGGCCGCACCGGGCGCAACACCTGGGGTTAGGGCAAATCCACAGGTTAGGGGGCGCAAATCCACGGGTTAGGGGGCGCAAATCCATGGGTTAGGGGGCGCAAATTACTTGCCTTACCCCGGGTGCTGACAACCCACGCTACGCCACTGCTCTGAGGCGGGGGCGGGGGTGGGTCTAGAGAGCAGAGAGAGTGGCAAAAGCAAGGAACCCAACAAGCAAAAGGAACCAGTCTTGGCTGGAGCAGCCAGATCCGAAGCGAGGTGGTGCTCCTGCGCCTGCAATAACTGCGTTGAAAAGGGTGTCACTTGTCATGCAGAAGGAGCAAGTTGTTCATGTTCGAAGAGGGAATTTGAGCAGGTGTAGCTTGTCATGCAAGACAAGCTGGCGCTCTGTCATCTTTTGCATCTGGTACCCTACACTGAATACTAATGAGAGAAGGCTGTTGCCATCAGGCCCTGGCTGTGGGCTTTCTGGAGTTACCTGGTTGGCTACCCTGGGAAGGAGATTGCTGTGTTACATAGGGATAGTCAGTGTGGTACCCTCCAAAATGTTGTCAGCCTCCAGCACCCATCAGTCAACATGGCCAGTGGTCAGGGACGAGAATTAAAGTCCAGCAACATGTGGAGGGCATCAAATCGGCTACTCCTGCTGTATTAGATGTAATAGTGGGGGCCATTCACACCATAAGATGAAAGCGCTATGGTACCACTTTACAAGGTCATGGGGTCCCCCAAAGAATGTTGGGAGCTGTAGTCTGTTAAGGGTGTTGAGGGTTGTTAGGCCCTGTTCCCCTCACAGAGGTACAGTTCCCAGAGTTGTTTACAACTACCGTATTTTTCGCTCTATAACACGCACCCGACCATAACACGCATATAGTTTTTAGAGGAGGAAAACAAGAAGAAAAAAATATTCTAAACGAAACAGTGGATGTCTGATTTTTGTGGTTCATGCTGTGGCCACAGACATGTGATCTGATGGTGAGTTTGGGGTAGCCCAATGCAAAAAAAGGATGCTGCTAATAATGCAGGCGAGGGGTTTAAGGGGAGAAGGCTCCTCTCCTCTCCCGCTTTGCTCCTTTGAAGCAAGCAGGCTCTGCTTCTCTCCCACCTCCCCGGCTTAGCGAGCTGAAAAACTTTGCTGCTATTTAGCGAGCTGAGTGGGGAGGAGAGAGGGACAGAGAGCCTCTTGCTCTTAAGGAGCCAACCGGACAGGAGCCGCTTACACTCCTGTAAGCGGCTCCTCTCCTCTCCGGCTTTGCTCCTTTAAAGCAAGCAGGCTCTCTGTCCCTCTCTCCTCCCCACTCAGCGGCTCTTCTCCCACTTTGCTGTTTCAAAGCGAGCCACGGAGGAGGGAAGGAAGGGGAACCATGGATCCTCTGCTCACGACTGCAGCAGATCCCCCCGCCATCCGTAGGCATTCGCTCCATAACACGCACAGACATTGCCCCTTACTTTCTAGGAGGAAAAAAGTGAGTGTTATGGTGCAAAAAATACGGTAATCCCTTTTCGCAGGGAACTCTGGGAATAGTTGCTCTGTGAGGGGAATAGGGGTCTCCTAACAGCTCTCTACGCACCTTTAGCAAACCTGGAATTCTTCTAAACCCTCCAAGTGTCCTTATTTTCTAAGATTCACAGAAGCCGTCCCGGTTTCTGATTTCATCTCAGAAGGTCCTGCTTTTCCTTAGGACGTCCCTATTTTCATTGGAGAAATGCTGGAGCTTATGTTCTTCCCTCTACAATTCTTTGCTGGAAGCCATGACTGTTTAAAGTGGTAGCATAGGGCATTCAGTGTATGGAGTGAACGTGGCCTTGGTCTTATCTAGAAGGGCTCATTTTCATGAGCAGCAAAATACAAGCAGGCTGGCATTTGAAAACCAAGCAGCCAGCTGGAAACTTTGGGCTCCTTTCACACAGGAGGCTCCTGTAGATTCTCTGCTACTCAGGCAAGCAAAGGAGACTGTGCTGGCCAACATCGTAATTCAAGTAGCAGAGAAGAGAACGCCACGCAGTTGGCTAAACTGAAATAATTGCTGGCACACGTATGTAGACAAAGTTCCGTGTTTTTTCAGTGTAGTCCTGTGCATGTCTACTCAGAAGTCAGCCTCACTGGGTTCAGTGAGACCTACTCCCAGGTAATGCGTGTATGCGGGTTGCAGCCTTCAGGGGTTACTCAGGTAAT